TGCTATCCAAATGCACTGTTGATCTTGCTGTTCATCACCGAAGACAAATTCCTTGTATATAATTTATACTTGATCTTTAAGGTATTTTGTATTTGTATTGTATTGTAAGGTTGAGAAACACTGACACAGACTACTAACAAGTTGTGTGTTGCCTTACTACTCTAACAGTAGTAAGAGTAGAGTACTCTTATTCTAACAGTAGCTCAAAACCAGCATTTTTTATTTTTTACCCTGGTGCTCCTCCCCCAGACTGTTTGGACTAAAACTCCCAGAATGCCCAATTTACTTGGCTAATCATCTGGAAGCTGTGGTCTAAAAACTTCAGTGTTACTAGAGAATATATATAGTTTAGGGTTGAACTTTTGGGTTCTTGGTGTTCTCTGAGTACCCCAAGTTCAGGGGACACCAGGAACCCAACTGCTAGAAGGTTCCAGATCAGAGAAAGCCACCTGAAAGCAATACCATTGAACCTGCCAGGCAAGGTTGGATTCCTAGCCCACCAGCACCGGGGCAGTGAGGTCTCCTTGCTTGGCACCTGCAGGTTACCTGCCTCAGCCTTTTTCCAGCCCTTCCCCACTGCTGAGCTGAAGCATTTTCCACCTGTTCTTGAATCAGCAGAAAACTTGCCCAGTCTGAAATTTCCTGTCCCCATTGCCAGTCCCAACCCTGCTCTCTTGCCACTGTTTCAGGCCACAGCCGTCACCTGACTTCCTCCCAGGTAAGATCAGGCAGTAGGGACAAAAGGCCTTTTCTCTTCTCCCCTTTGCCATTCCCACATGAAACATTCAGTAGACCTTTTGTTTTCATGTGACAATAGCTGAGCAGGAAACACCCAGCTGTGAACCATTTAAGCTCTGTAAGAGCCTCAGAGTCACCTAAGGTGCCTGAATGCTGTCCTGTAAAGAGCTAGAATCAGGCCAAATGACCTTCCAACCTTCTCCCTCCAGTCCCGCATTTCCTGTCCAGCAGATTTTCAGAGCTTCAGTCCACTCAATCCTACCATGCTCTCCATCTTCTCGATTCTTTAAAAAAAAAAAAACTCATCCGGCTTTTTAAAAAACTGCTGAGCTCTAAAAGGAACTGTGATTCTCGTGCTTGAGCAATCGGTTGAATCTCCGATGAGCTCGTGGGACTGGTTTTTCTCTCTCTCTCAGTTTCCTTCTACAGAGTTTGTGGGTCGAGAAGAGGGCTGGGTCTTTCCCGGACTTTTCCCTCCCTCCTCCCTCTGTGCATCAGCCTACCGTATAAGGCTGGGCGGGCAACCATACCAGTTCAAACTCGCTCAGATTAGTTCGGGACTGGGAAAAAAAAACCCGCTTCTCATTTTGTGCTCCGAGGTTGCGAAGTAGGGTAATGTGATAGGAAGGAAGAAAAGCTAGAAACTCTCGGAGGGAGTCCCGTTTGAGTATTATCAGCAGGGAAAAGGGAAGTAGAGCCGGCGGAGTCGACAGAGCAGAGGCGGACTTTTTCCTTCCGATGGTGCTCATGACTGACCTTCAGCTTGACGGGGACCAACAAAAGCCAGTCCGAGTGGCCAGTAAAAAGGAAAAAACTGCTTTAATCCAGTAAGTATGCTGCCTAGCCGTGTATTGCAAGGAATAGCTCTAAGGGCTCCTGTGGTCGCGCCCAGCAACGAATAAAAAGTCGCCGCTTTATTCCCGAAGACGCTGAGAAGTTTTCCGGTCCCTCTGCTAGTTGCCTGCCTCCGACCTTAGGCTCCTTCTTTGCCTAAACGTTAAAAAGAAAGCCCCGCAGCTCAAGCGCGGCCTTGGAGAGGTTGTTGGATCTGGAGTAGGTTAAGGTTCTTGGATAAGTGGTCAGTTCTTGGCGCATGAAGCCTTGCCCCGGCCTTGGGGTGCTTCAAGTGGCTACAGGCGAGGGGCGGGGCGTTTGTTAATCCGTCGCACAATGAAACAGGTTACAGTATGGGAGAAGGTCACATAGCTTGATGGTTTGGATTAAGCGTAATAAAAGGCTGCAGGTTTTCCCGATTTTGTCTTGGGAAGATGAATTAAGCTTTGATTGGGGTTCCGTGTGAATTGGGCTCTGTGTGGGCGTAAATCAGAAACGTGTCACTTGATGCTTCTAGATTGCGTGCACTGACTGCATCCAAAGTATTGCATCTGAGGCAATATGAGAAGTACTTGATTTGGGATGTCTCTTTTCTGTGTGCAAGTCTTAACCTGCAATGATGATGAGCCAATGCATGGACAGCTTTGCTGCCCACAAGGCAGCTTCAGTATTCATCTCATTATAGACGTTTTTCTCAGACTCTCTGACAGTGCGTGATAAAGCTACAGTTGGCAAGACTGCCTGGATCTTCTGATAGGTTTTGTTTTGTTTTTGGTGCCTTCAAATCAGTGTTGACATCTGGCAACTGCCTGGGCAAGTCCCTGCAGTTATTTTGACAAGATTTCAGAAGTGGTTTGCCATTGCCTGCTTCCTAGGGCTGAGAGAGAGTGACTGGCCCAAGATCACCCAGCTGGCCTTGTGCTTAAGGCAGGACTAGAACTCACAGTCTCCCGGTTTCTAGCCTGGCACCTTAACCACTACACAAAACTGGGTCATTTTGATGAATTTACTCTGGATCATATTATCAATTGGATTGATGAATCAGGCTACCTCAATGATTATCAATACTTCTTCCACACGCTGCTGTGATTTCATATCATCTGATAGGAAAAGAAAGTCCTGTATGAATCTGCCAGATGATATTATTGCAATTTCCAAATTCACAAGAATTAACATGCCAATTGTACAATCCATAGGATTTCATAGGAAATTGCATTTCTATCTAATTATGCAAGACGGGGGGAGGGCTTAACTTGATGGCTGGCAGGAATTAGGGATCCATCTGGAAAATATGCCTTCAACTTGCTAGCTTCCTCTTATATCAGCTCCTCTGAGCTCTTTTCAGTGATGAAAAGAAAAGCATTCAGAGCACGGAGGCATCTAATAACTTCACCCTTCTTGGCATGGCACCCGCACTGAAAACAGTACCTAGTTCTGGGCTCTGGTTTTAAGTAGGCTAGTTTTATGCCTATTCGCAGAAACCCATACCTGCTATTTTTCTTGTGAAGGAAAACACAGTGGGCCTGCACACTTCCACTCCATGTGCCAGAAATTGCAATAATATCATCATAGGCTCATAGTTGACACACAGCTCTGCAAGCTTTAGAAATACATAAGGAAGCATTTAGGAAGTGTGGAAGGCAATGGTAAAAGGTCTGCTTTGAGAAAAACTTTTGGATTTTGTTGTGGTGCTTGTGAAGGGGGCTAGAAGAAGGATGTGTTTTTTTGGTGAAACTCACGTTTTCACTTTGGGAACTGGTATACAGTATTATGTTCTGCTGTTATTTCTTCACATTGGTCTTGCATAGACATTGAATATGTCCATGCTAGTGTATAGAATTCCTGAAAATCTTCTCTCTGTTCCTCTTTTTTAATTAGGTAATTCACATCAATAGTAGTTACTATCAAATCACAATGACTTTTAAATAAAAAAGAGTGAAACGATAAGTGCAGAGCTCAAGATTGCACATGAATATATTTAATAAGCCAGTTTATTAAGAATTTAATAAAGATATATTCAGAACCCATTTTTCTTTCATTTCTCCCATTTTCCTTTGAGTGGAGATCTTTGTGGTTGGCATGGTTAGGGATCTACAGATGTAAATCAGAATGGTTTTACCTGAGACTACGTTGATTCTGAGAAAAACCATCCTTAAAAGTCCTGGAACAATTAGGGTACAGCCTTAGGGCTAAAGTATATAGGTCCTGAAAGCAAACAATTCTTACCTGAAAAAAACATGCTAAGAGCCCCAGATAAGGGTAGGAGTAAATAGAATGGGCATCCATTTCTGGGCTGATATGTGTATTTTTAAAACATAGAGGCAGGTGGCAAGAATTGAAAATTTGACTTGGAAAACTACTATCATAGGTACCATCTTGATTAAACTGTTTAATAGGTCTGTTAGTGCAGAAACAATGTTGGACAGTTATTCGTTCCATAAGAGTGGCCCCTGACTTCTCTGAGTTTTGATCAAATCATGATCTTCATAACCTTCTAGGCACTCATTTCTATATTTAATGCATTTAAATATGCATTTATACCCCCCTTTCAAGACTTCAGCCTTTCAAGACAGCTTACAATATAAAACATGTCATTTAGTATCAGAATAAAAAGTGCCTACAAGTTAGAAAATGAACATTAAAAAATTAAGTGTCAAAATCACACGAAAAATTTTAATAACCAAAGCAGCATATTCAGTGATAAATGATTTTTTTTAAAAAAATTAACAACCTTTCAGTCAAAACTCAACAGCTATATATCCCTTAGTAATTTTATAGGGTACAAGTTGTGACAGAAAACTCTTCACCTCTAGCATCTGCCAGCATTATGGATCTTAGTGGTGAAATAGTGACCAGTGTATCTACTCAGTACTGATGTAATATGAATCATCTGTCCTATAGTGTCAACAAAGCTATAATAAGGCTAAAATAATACTTGTCTTCCATTGCTGACCCATACAGAGCATACTACATTAGTGTAGCCTAAAGGTAAGTGGAGCTTGGTCCATTTTACCTAGATAAGTCTGGAGCAGAAATACCATCTCTCTCATATTTATTTATTTATTAAACTTGTCCCCGCCCATCTTCCCCCCCCACTGGGCGTCCCGGCTGGGCGACCCCCACTAAAAAAAAAAAAAAAAAAAAAAAAAAAAAA